CCAATAAATACTGTACAGTACTATAAATGTATGTTCTCTTTCTTATGATTTTCTTAACATTTTCTTTTCTCTACCTTACTTTCTTGTAAGAATACAGTATATAACATATATATAACATACAAAATATGTGTTAATCGACTGTTTATTTTACTGGTAAGGATTCCTGTGAACAGTAGTTAAGATTTTGGGGAGTCAAAGTCAAATTTTCTACTGCATGGGGGGCGGTCAGCACCCCAACTCCTGCAATGTTCAACAGTGAATTGTATATCCAGGATTTGATCCCTTCTCCCCTTCCCTATTGCCTGCCACCACCCTGCTCTCAGCATCTCTCACCTGAATTACAGTAACCATATCTCCATTTTCTTCATGTTTCCTCCCTTGCTCCTCCTTAAATCTATTCTCTGAATGGTAATCAGAATGAACCTGTGGAGAACCACCCCCACGGCTTCTCATTTCACTCAGAGTGAGAGCCTATGACCTGCGACTCTACGTGGTATCACTCCCAGTATTTCTTTGCCTCTCCTCTTGTTCTCCACTCCCCCATTCTCTCCACTCCAGCCACACTGGCCTCCTTGGTATCCCCCAACACACTAAGCACCCTCCTAACTCAAAGCCTTTGCTATTTTCTCTGCTCCTCCCCCTCCCATATCAGCATGGCCAGCTCCTTCAGCCTTCACTCAAAAATCACTTACCCAGTGAGCCCTCCCCAGCCCCCATCTACAATTTCAGAGTCCCCCCCAGTTCTCCTTCCATGCTTCATTTTTTTCCTCATTAGCATCTATCACTATCTAACATATACGCTATACTTCTTTTATCTTGCTTATTGTCACTCTCCCCTACTGTAATGGAAGCACCATGAGGACAGGGTTTTGTGCAGGTGTGTGTGTCTATTTTGTGCCTGGTACACAGGAGGTGCTTAATAAATTTTTGTTGAATGAACAAATAAATACATCTCAGCCTCATCATGACTCTGAGCTGAGCAAGCCAGACATCTCCATTTTACAGATGAGGAGACTGAGATTCTCTGAGCTTATGAAATGGACAGCCATATCAAATCAAGATCTCCTGATTCCATGACTTTTATCCTTTCACTTCATCAGTAATGCCCTGAGATTTGGCCAGCATGGCTTCTTCCCTGGACCCCATATTTTATTTTTTATTTTTATTTTTATTTTTTTTAAAAGATGACCGGTAAGGGGATCTCAACCCTTGG